GCTTGTAAAGCTCTATAATACACCGCAGTTAAACCATCTGTTCCTGGAGCTTTAGCTGTTTTCAGTTGTTTAATAGCAACAATAATCTCCTCAGTTGTTATTGGTAAACTCATTCTTTCCTTTTGATCATTAGAAATTTTTATAACTCTCTTTTCTTCTAAATATTTATTTATAAGTTCATTCTGTATATCATCTTTAGCATATAGTTTAGAATAATAATCTAAAAAGGCTTCTTTAATTAATCTTTGTTGAAATACTTCCTTTCCTCTATACTCAATACTCCCAATAGTCAGAGTACTCTGCTGTTTCCTCAATGTGTAAGCCAACCATCTGCCCAGCTTATTGGCATTACTAAATGTATTATGTTTTGCAAATTGTAAATTAGTTGCTGCTTGTTCTGCTGTAAGCATATGGAATTGATCTTTCAAAAGTTTTATAACTCCTTGTAATTTTTCATCTGTTGGATTTTTTATAAGCAACTGCTCTTTTTTCTTTATCTCTCCTTCCAGTTCTAATCTTTTTCTTTGTCGATTTGATTTGTGTTTAGAATTCATATAAATCAGTACCCTCCACATATATGCCTTGCTCGCATCCCAAACAATTTCAATAGGGGTACCCTTATTCAAGTTCATTTCAAAAAAATCCTTCATTTGTTTCTTAAGTTCATTTACATTCTTTTCATATCTAAACAAATTTTCATTTACTCTTCAAGATCTTCTCTCATTTTTTCCCATTTCTATTTTTATCCATACCGGGCTGTGGTCAGATAAAGTTCTCGGAAATATCTTTGTTTTCTTTGTTTTTGAGAGTAAATCAACTGTAAGTAAAATAAAATCAATCCTGGAAAAGGATCTGTCTGAAAAAAAAGTAAAGTCCAGTTCTTTTGGGTTATGCACTCTCCAAATATCTTTCAATTCCAAATCTTCTTTCAAATAAAAAAAAAACTGTGGTAGTTTGACACGTGATTTTGCCAAGCTTTTCTTATCTATTTTAGGATCTATTACTCCATTCCAATCTCCCATAAGTAAAATAGATCTATAATCCCATTGTAGTATTTTAGAATGCAATAACTTGTAAAAATTTTCTTGTTGCTGATTAGGAGCATAAATTCCAATCACCAAGATCGGACCATTATCTGTAAAAAGTTCTATTGCTATGTATCTTCCACAATCATCTGCTTCTATAATTTTTGTTAGCAATCTTTTATTTGTATAAATCACTACCCCATTCTTTTTCTCCGAATTTGAAGCTATAAACTGTGTTCCTAATCTAGAATTTATCAGATATTTTTGAACTTGTATTCTAATATGAGTTTCCTGTAAGCAAATAACATCATTATTCGATTGTCTCAAGTAATGAAATATCTTCCTCCTTTTCTGTGGTGAATTCAATCCGTTCACATTCCAAGATAAAAACTTAATTGTCATCTGCAGGCTCTTGAAGCGATAAGAGCATTTGCTGAAGTTTCTGTTCCACACTATTGGTCTTCGGCTTAGCTCCTCCCATAGCTTCGGATTTTTGTGCTTTACCATTAACTCCCTGTTCGTCTTGTGATATCTTAGGGCTCTGATGTTGTTGTTTCTCTAAGAATTGTTTATAAGCTGCTCGAGTAATATGCTGATCTTTAGCACTATGCAACATCCAATCAAGATCCGCTGCTACTTCTCTTGTGTTTTTAGGTGGTTCAACTAAAGACTCTAAGGGAGGATCCAGCAAAGGTAGGCCCCCTACCGCTCCTTGAGTCTCTACTGCTTCCCTCTCCATCTGTTTCCTCTGCTCTTCAAGCTCTTGTTCAAATTGCTTATCCTTCTCACCCTCCATTATGGCTATAACCGAGGAAGTACGTGGAGATGCTGTACCAGGTTTAAAAACACTGAAAAAAATTCTTCCGCTTTTTGAGGAGTATTTAATCGATATCTCTCTCCTTGATACCTCAATATTATGCTAACTATGCTAATATTATTCAGATGGAATTTGCTGTTTTTTTAGTTCAGTCACCAAAAATCCAAAATCTTTTCTATCTTTCAACATCAACAGGTGGCAGTTCTTTGTAGATCCCAATCTCTCTTCCATCCACTTGAATAGTAGAAACAAAAGATTTTTGCAAAATATCGTTTCTTATTCTTCTATCTGTAAAGTAGATCACCACATCTCTAGGCAGTTGCCTTTGCCTTGCCACCCAGGAGTTCACTCTATAGACCTTATCAATTTTACAAAAAACTTCCTCAGGGTCAACCTTTAACATTACAGCCAGAGCATCAGCGCAAACCCTTCTCAGGTCTTCTCTATTGTTCTCTTTTATACCTCTGAGCCTCACAGCAAACTCCATAAATCTGAATTGCATCATTGTCACTTCATTTTCAAGACTTTGTGTTTTATTATCAACATTAGAAATTTTTTGGTCAGCTTCTTTCATTTTAGATTCTACTTCTGAGCTAAGATGTTCCACTTTCTTATCAATTTGGAGCACTACTTCTGAGAAACCAGTCACAGCTGTCAATATTTCCCGTTTCATCTTGTCATACTTTTCTTGAACCATCTCTTTAAATTCCTGCTGTGATTTTTCAAATTTCTGATCTAAAGCCCCAGCAATAAATTCCTTCAAATCATTAAATCCAGATTCTTGTGTTTGGGTCTGTATCTGTGAACTCAAAGGCTGCTCTTTTGGTTTATGAGTGGGGGACCCCCCCCCACCAACTTTAGCTGGCTTTGTTTGTTTTGAAGCCATTCTTCACAGCCTGACTCTTTCTAAAAAAGATATCCTCTCTCCCTTTCCACCACAAAAACCTTTCAGGAATTTCCCCAGCTTTAGTCAAGTCCCAAGGGAGAGGGAACAAGTCAAATCAGTTTTAAAAGAACTTTTCCTCTTTCTTCTGGCCAGCACTGTTACTTTTTGTTACTTTGTAGCATAAACAAGCTCAAACAATTGCACTTTCACTTTCAGCATTCCTTATTGCTAAAGCCGGGCGCCATTTTAAACAAACTTTCACTTTTTCTCAGTTACTAACTTCATTCACAGGGCTAAGAAAAATACTTGCGATTTGATTTTCAAGTCCAGATTCCACCCTGCTTATTTTTAACAATTTTCTTAGCTTTCTCTCGTTTCGTTGGTCGCGTCGCCTAGCTCTGCAATTATGCAGAGTCGCCCTTAGAGCCCGGAGCCTCAGCGCGCTATACAGGGAGCCTCACCCTGCTTCCTCCCCAGACGCTAAAAAAAATGATCTGGGGACTTCAAAGGGGGCGATGGGATGTCGTTGCTGGCTACAGGTGGTCCGCCAAATATCCTGGGCCTAAGCCACGTAGGGCTTTATAGGTCATCGCCAGCACCTTGAATCTCACCCGGAGGGTAATCGGTAACCAATGCAAGTCGCGCAGGAGGGGTGTAACATGGGCGTATCGGGATTCTCCCATCACAACCCGCCCGGCTGCATTTTGCACCAGCTGAAGCCTCCGAGTGGCCCTCAAGGGCAGCCCCATGTAGAGAGTGTTACAGTAGTCAATATGTGAGGTGACTAGCGCATGAGTAACTGTGCGTAGGGCATCTCGGTCCAAGTAGGGACGCAACTGGTGCAACAGACGAATCTGGGCATATGGCCCCCTGGTCATGGTCATTATATGATCTTCTAGACTCAACCGTGAGTCCAGGAGGACACCCAAAATACATCTCAAATATGAAGAGAAATAAATGGGGTAAGATTGAGAATGAAAAGTAATAGAGTTAAAATTAAAGGAAAAAAGCTGAAGGGGAGATATAAGAACAGGAAAAATAAGAAGGTAAAGAAATGGGAGAAAGGGAGGAAAACATCAAGAAAGAGAACTCTGGAGAGACTAAGAAAATGGTTAAGAGTCAGTCAAAAAGTTAATTTGTTAATAAAGAGAAGGATGCTAATTGTAGAAATTATGTGTGAAAATGCTGTTAAATGAAAAATAGAACAATGTTACCCAAGCTACAACTTAATCCTTTTTACTTTCACTGCCATAGACCATTAAAGGTATTTCAATTGTTACAGTTTATACTTATTCATATTTCTAAAAAAAAGAAAAAAAGAAAATCTTATCATTGTCTAGATTTCCAAAATAAAAAGACAAATATTCCAATTATTATTCATTTCATTTTTACAATCATGATTTCCCATTTATTTCTTACTACTATTCATATTTCAATTCTAAATATGTATAACATCTTTCTTTCATTTCCTTTTCTTTTTCTCCCTTCCCATTTTTATTTTTGCCTTTTTCTTTCTCCTTTTTTTCTTTTGTGTTTTAAAATTTTGAACTCTCCTCTCTTGCTCTAAATTTCCCATTGTTTGCACCTACCTTTTTTAGTGAAGAAAAAGAAGAAAAAGAAATCTCCCTCTGCCTCTGCCTCATTTTTCCTTGCAGCAAACAGCAAACAGGCTGCTTTACTTTCAGTTTCGTTTTCAGCATAGCTTGATTAGCACAAGGGGAAAAAATCTGCTCCAACACTCTTTGCAGCAAGCAGCAGAGCCCTGCGCAAAACAGCTGAGAGTCAGGAGGCCAATCTAATCAACTTGTGCTAATTAGCCTGTGCTGAAGCTGAAAGGAGCTGTTTTTTCTTGCTGTTTGCTTGCAAGGAGGTAACTGCTGCCAGGCACAGGCAAAAGGGGGGGGCACCCTCCGCCACCCTCCTTGCCACTTAGCGCCCCCCTGCCACCCCTTTTTGCCTCTAGCGCTCCCCAGCCACCCCCCATGCCTCTTACTGCCCCCCTAAGTCATCCCACTGCCCCCCACTTTGGTACCGCCCACTTTGGGAACCACTGCTTTAGGTCATCACTCATCACTTTGAAAAATCCATGTGCATTTTCTTGTGTGCAATAAGGGTGGAATGCTTCCTGAAGCACCCTCCACTCTTGGGGCACTTAAATGGTTTCTCCCGTGTGTATAAGCACATGATTTAAAAGGCTAGTCTTAGTACTGAAATCTTTCCCACAATCTGGGCACTTGTATGATTTCTCTCCTGTGTGAGTCCTCAGGTGTCTCACCAGGCTGGAATTGTGACTGAACCTTTTCCCACAATCAGGACATTCAAATGGTTTCTCTCCTGTGTGAGTTTCCTGGTGTGTCACCAGGCTGGAATTGCGACTGAAACTTTTCCCACAATCAGGACATTCAAATGGTTTCTCTCCTGTGTGAGTCCTCTGGTGTGCCACCAGATTGGAATTCTGACTGAACCGTTTCCCACAATCAGGACATTCAAATGCTTTCTCTCCTGTCTGAGTCTTCTGGTGTTTCACCAGCGTGGAATTGTTACTGAACCTTTTCCCACAATCAGGACATTCAAATGGTTTCTCTCCTGTGTGAGTCTTCTGGTGTGTCACCAGGCTGGAATTCTGACTGAAACTTTTCCCACAATCAGGACATTCAAATGGTTTCTCTCCTGTGTGAGTCCTCTGGTGTGTCACCAGGTTGGAATTGTGACTGAAACTTTTTCCACAATCAGGACATTCAAATGGTTTCTCTCCTGTGTGAGTCTCCTGGTGTGTCACCAGGCTGGAATTCTGACTGAAACTTTTCCCACAATCAGGACATTCAAATGGTTTCTCTCCTGTGTGAGTCCTCTGGTGTGACACCAGATTGGAACTTTTACTGAACCTTTTCCCACAATCTGGATATTCAAATGGTTTCTCTCCTGTGTGAGTCCTCTGGTATGTCACCAGGCTGCAATTCTGACTGAACCTTTTCCCACAATCAGGACATTGAAAGAGTTTCTCTCCTGTGTGAGTCCTTTGTTGTCTCATGAGATGGTAATTTCCAATGATACTTTCACACAATTTGGACATTCTTATGTGATGGGTGTCCTGTGATGTATCATCGTGTTGCCATGCTCTCTAAAGTGTTCACATATGGAGCACTCGTATGGCTTCTCTCCTGTGTGTCGTTCCATGAACCACAAGGAAGCTGACCAAGCTTTTCCACAACTGATATTCTTGAGGTCAAAAATATGTGTGATCTATTGTTTAGTGCTGTTTTGATTACCACTAAATCAAAATCTATTGTTTAGTAGTGTTTTGATTGGTGTTTGCTTCTTCCCAGAGCAAGGCCTGTATCATTGTCTGTCCTATGTGTCCTGCCCAATAAGACCTTTTCCTTCCCCCTAACTTCCAGATATTTCCATCTTTTTCTGAGTGAAAAATAATCTTCCTTGATTTTTCATTAAATGTATCCTTGAGTTTCGTATCCTCTACTTTTTCCAGCTCAAAATCTCATGTTAATTTTCTCTCTTTTGTCTATTAGCTGCTGGAGAAGGAGAATTGTGTGCTTTTCTGAAGGAACTGGAATATATTTTGATTTCTGGCTCAATTTTATTTCCTTTTCAAGGTTGCTTGTTATTCTCAGTTGTCCAGAGTGCTCTTATTGCCATCCTCTTTGTCTGTAAGTTTTAAAGAAAAGTGTAACTTTAATTGTGTATAAAATGGTTGCAGAAGATGTGAAAAAAAGTATACATTACAACAAAAAAGCAAACATGCCACAATGCTACAATAATCTCTTACATTAATTATGATTCATTTGACACATGGAAGAGTACCAAGATATCTATTCAACCATGAAATTGTGTTGTTGACTTGGGTCAATCATAGATTCTTGGCACCGCAAAGTGTTATCCTCAAAGATATCTGGATGTACTGAGGATAGATTATATTTATTTATTTATTTATTTATTTATTTATTTATTTATTTATTTATTTATTTATTTATTTATTTATTGGTTTGATTTATAAGCCGCCCTTCTCCGGAGACTCAGGGCGGCTTACAATGCGTCAAGCAATGGCCTTCACACTTTTGTATATAGCTGCTTAGTAGGGCTTTCGCCCCCCCCCCCAAGCGTTGTTCTTTTTTATACAAAGTCAGCTTATTGCCCCCACAATCCGGGTCCTCATTTTACCTACCTCGAAAGGATGGAAGGCTGAGTCAACCTTGAGCCTGGTGAGATTTGAACTTGCAGTAATTGCAGGCAGCTGGTGTTACTTAATAGTGCTTTAGTCTGCTGCGCCACCAAGGCTCTTGTATAAGATTTTCATCCATGGAATCCTTCCCAAGCTGTCTCTTGGTTTGTTAAAATCAGCTGCTTTAAAGTCTAAGACATTAGACTTATTTTGTGGGTGTGGCTTGGAGGCCGTGTGACTGGGTGGGCGTTGCTAGCTGGTCATGTGACTGGGTGGCCATGGCTATGTGTATAGGGACTACTCAGAGGGCTGAAAAAAGTTATTTCTGACAGGTCCTCGCACTTTTGACTGGTCCTCACACTTATGACCATCCTCACATTTATGCCCATGCAGCATTCTTAACAACCATGTCACTCATTTCACAACTGCTTCTCTACACCATGGTGATAAGATAGGGCAAAAAATGTAAAATGTGAGGACAGTCGTAAGTTTGAGGACTGGTCAAAAGTGCGAGGACCAGTCAAAAGTAACTTTTTCAGCCCTCTGAGTAGTCCACATGCACAAAAGGACTACCCAGAGTGTAGAGTGACCACACACACAAAGGTTGAGGATATATGTGGTAACTTTATTGTCTTACATAGTGACATTATATATTTTGTTACTACAAGTTACAGCAGTACTTGGCAGCATCTCATTGGCTCACAGAATCTTTTAGGTAACTAGAACCATTACTTATAATGTAATGTAGGGTTAACACATATCCCACTTCCTATCCTCTTGTTCCTCTTGTTTATAGAGTTAGGGTCTAATGCCATTTCCTGGCGCCTACATGTGAGTAACCTTCCTTATCTGAGGTTTGCCATCCAAGATAAGGAAACATTCCTACACATAGCAGACTACAGGCTCCTATATGTCCTCTCTTTTTATTTAATTTTGAGGGAACAAAGATTTCTGTATGTATCGCAATTGATGAGGAGGCAGAGAGAGAGGAGCAGGACGAAACATAGTAATTAATGAGGGAATACACTGAATGAAACAACAGCAAGCAACTAACATGACAATAATAATTACAGCATAAAAAAACAACTGCTTAAGCCAGGACCAATCACGAAGCCAATTGGTCAACCAGTCAAAAGGAGAGGAAATAGCATGAACATTATTCTGAAAATATGATTGGAGTTTAGCAAGTTCATCTTCAATGGTTTTGTTCAAAGAGTGAAAATGAACAGCACATCTACAACGGCCAACAAGTTTACAAAAACCTCCTTGTCGTGCTAATAAATAGTCAATAGCAAAACGTTGCTGGAGCACATCCTGATTCAGGTCCTCAATTTCATGTTGGAGATCACAAACAATAGCAGCAGTGGCATTAATTGATTTCTCCAGGCGACATGTTAAGCCCAGGATAGAATGTGTATTTTCTTGAGCTATTATTCCAGGGTAAGCCCCTAAAGTGAGCACCCCAGTAATAGCTCCAGCCACAGCACGGCCATAGGTATTTAGAGAGGACAGTTGTGTATCAATGATGACTTCATCAGTACATGTAGGACCTAATGGAGCACGGCGCCGTCGTGAAGAAGAAGAGAGAGCACCAATCTGCACAGGTAGGGAAAAGTACCCAATAGCAGCACACTGATAGTTTTGAGGGTGTACGTTGGTTGCATATTTGTCAAAAAAGAACCACATGTTAGGGAAGCGTTAAAAATAGGAAAATTATCAGGATACATTTCAGGCACAATATTAGGCCCATGCAAAGAAGAATTAAAGGTTCCCCAGAGCCAATAATAGTCAGTAAAATAACTATAATTCCCTACTTTCGATAAAATGTGGACTTGGTCCTGTGAATATGTTTGAGACCCCCCATTTTTCTGTCTTCTCCTCTGTCCTCTTTAAGGACCCTCAGGATATGGTCATGTCTATCTGCTATGATCAAAATGTACTCAGCAGCAGGGCTTCTTGGTCTGCGAGACTCCCCCCTCTCGCAGGCTTGGCCCTCCACTCTATCGAGGGCCTACCTCGATGACGGGCTTTGGAACCCCGAGAGGTGGCATGTCGCAAAGAGGGGGTTGCGGGGTTTTTTAAAATTGTCTTTGTCTAATTTTTTAAGGGGTTTGGGGAGGGGGGTGGGGGGTGGGATTGGAACTAGGGTTGTGGGTTTGGGGGATAACCCACCAAGGGGAGGGTCGGGCCCGGCCATGACACGCGGCAGGGTGGGTGAGGGATCCAGGGCAATGGGGGGGGTCGAGCTTGTCCAGACTGTGTCTTTACTATCAGTACTGTGAGTGGGAGGGGTAGATATGGCGGGAGCAGGGGGCCATATCATGTTAAGGGAGCACGCACCCGCTGTCTCCAAGTGGTAGGGTGCTCCGGCCCCCAAGGCTCCACCCGTTCTCCAGGTTGCACAGACCCTCACGGCCTGGGCCTTCGTCTGATGCTGTGCAATGCCAGGTCCATAGTAAATAAAGCCCCCCTCATCTGTGACCTTGTTCAGGAGGGGGGAGGGGACCTGGCGGGTATTACGGAGACTTGGTTGGGCCCAGAGGGAGGAGTCCCTCTGATAGAAATGTGCCCACCAGACTTCCATGCATTTCATCAGCCGAGGTCACAGGGGAGGGGCGGGGGAGTAGCGGTTATTATTAGAGAAGGCCTTAGGCCGAGGGAGACCACTGTTCCTCAGACGGCCGATTGTGAGTCCCTCCTTGTGAAGTGGGGCCATGGGGTTCAGATGGGCTTGCTGATCATGTACCTGGCTCCCTGCCACGTGGCAGCAGCCCTGCCCGAGCTGCTCGACGTTATAGCCGCGGTGGCGGTTGACACCCCCAGGCTTATGATCATGGGGGATTTTAACCTGCCATCGGTCGGCGAGACGTTTGAGGTGGCTCGGGAGTTCATGGCTTCCATGACGGCCATGGACCTGACCCAGCTAATTCATGACCCTATGCACATAGGGGGAAACACACTGGACCTGGTTTTTGTCTCTGGACAGTGGCTGAGTGATCTTGAGATAGGGGATATAGTCATCGAGCCCTTGTCATGGTCGGATCACTCTCTCCTTCACCTTGATCTTCGAACCGCGGTACCCTGCCGCAGGGAGGCGGAACCGATAAGATGGTACTGCCCCAGGCGCCTGATGGAACCTGATAGGTTCCAGACGGAGCTTGGGCCAATTCCTGAGGTTCTGGCTCACGCCTCGGCTGGAGACCTAGTGGCCGCCTGGGATAGGGCAGCCGCTGGAGCTTTGGATCGAGTCGTGCCTTTGCGGCCTCTGACCCGGCGCCGATCTCGCCTGGATCCTTGGTTCACCGAGGAGCTGAGGGAGATGAAGCACTGGAAAAGATGCCTAGAGAGTAGTTGGAGGGCTAGTCTTTCTGAATCGGACTGGACACTGGTAAGATTTCATATTCGGAATTACCTAGTGGCGATAAAAGCAGCAAAATGTGCTCATTTTGCTGCTCTTATTGCATCATCAGATAATTGCCCGGCCGCCCTGTTTAGGGTGACCCGCTCCCTGCTCCACCAGGAAGCGTGGGAGGACCCCTTGGAGGGAAGAGCCGAGGATTTTGTTCAGTATCTGCATGACAAAATCACTCAGATTCAGGAAGGTCTGGACTCTGACTGGGTAGATCCAGCGGGGGTGACGGAGGCAGGTCTTGAGACTGTTATCTGGGATGAGTTTGATCCTGTGACCCCAGATGACGTGGACAGGATTCTGGGTAGATTGAACGCGACCACATGTTTGTTGGACCCGTGTCCCTCCTGGTTAGTGCTAGCTTCCCGGGAGGTGACTCCAGGGGATTATAAATGCTTCACTGGGTGAGGGTATCTTCCCCGCCGCCCTTAAGGAGGCGGTGGTGAGGCCCCTCCTCAAGAAGCCTTCCCTGGACCCGGCAATATTGGCTAATTATCGTCCAGTCTCCAACCTTTGTTTTGTAGCGAAGGTTGTTGAGAGTGTGGTTGCGGGACAGCTTCCCCGGTACCTGGATGAAGCGTCGTATCTGGATCCATTCCAGTCGGGTTTCAGGCCTGGGTACAGCACAGAAACGGCATTGGTCGTGTTGGTTGATGATCTCTGGAGGGCTCGGGACAGGGGTTGCTCCTCTGTCCTGGTCCTGTTAGATCTCTCAGCGGCTTTTGATACCATCGACCATGGTATCATGCTGCACCGGTTGGAAGAGTTGGTGGTGGGAGGCACCGTACTAAGGTGGTTCTCCTCCTTTCTCTCTGACCGGTCGCAGTCTGTGTTGACAGGGGGGCAGAGGTCGACCCCGAGGCCCCTTATATGTGGGGTGCCGCAGGGATCGGTCCTCTCGCCCCTTTTGTTCAACATTTATGTAAAGCCGCTTCTGTGGTTTCGGGGTGAAGTACCATCAGTACGCTTACGACACCCAGCTGTACATCTCCATCCCGGACCACCCCAACGATGCCATTGAAGTGATGTCCCAGTGCCTGGAGGCCATACAGATCTGGAGGGGGAGGAACAGGCTCAGGCTCAACCCATCCAAGATCGAGTGGCTGTGGTTTCCGACGTCCCAATATAGTCAGCTGGTGCCATCGCTGACTATTGGGGGCGAATCATTGGCCCCTACGGATAGGGCTCGCAACTTGGGCGTCCTCCTGGATTCACGGCTGTCTTTAGAAGAGCATTTGACGGCCGTGACCAGGATGATTTTTCATCAGGTTCGCCTGATCCGCCAGTTGCGTCCCTTTCTAGATCGGGACTCCCTACGCACAGTCACTCACGCCCTCGTAACCTCTCGGCTGGACTACTGCAACGCTCTATACATGGGGCTCCCCTTGAGGTGCACTCGGAGGCTCCAACTGGTGCAGAGTGCGGCCGCGTGGGTGGTTATGGGAGCGATGTGGAGTTCCCATGTAATACCTCTCCTGCGCGAGCTGCACTGGCTCCCGGTGGTCTTCCGGGTGCGCTTCAAGGTTCTGGTTATCACCTTTAAAGCGCTCCATGGCTTAGGACCTGGTTATTTATGGGACTGCCTGCTACCACCAATAGCCTCCCACCGGCCAGTACGCTCCCATAGAGAGGGGCTCCTCCAGGTGCCGTCGGCCAAACAATATCGGCTGTCGGCCC